ACGCTTGACTTACAACGTAGTCCCCCGGCGCACAGGCCGCGGTACCACGCGCCGAGGACCCAAGCTACAGACAACCGTTCGCGGCAACCGCCATGCACAGAAGAGACTCGCTCAACTCTCGGCTGCCACCAAGGCTTGCTTTTCACCAGGGTTCACCGCCGGCGCTACACCATGATGATGATGATGATAGTGGTGGCCAACTCTCACGAACGCAACGCCACCTATCACCTGGTGGTTGTCACCCAAAATGCGGCTTTTGGGGCGAGACACATGCGCCATGTAGCGCAAACAACCTTACAGAAGAATGTCTGTACCCCCCTAACTTTTTTTGCCCCGCGTTCACAAACAGTCGTGGACGACGGCATATTGAACCACACCGGCGTTTCGTCGGCGTTGCCGATTTGGCCTAGCCTGTAGCCATGCTGTCGCCAGAGGCTGTTCACATAGAGTTGAAATTCTATCAATTTCTCCTCATACATCTCCGGCAGCTTTTGGCATATCGACACGTGCCGTCGAAGGCCAAATCCTTTGCGTCGAATTATGCAACGGATCCAATAAATGGATCCCTTGAAGTCTTCCTTTGACAGACCGGCTTCACGGGCGAGCTCGACGGCTTTTGAGGGAATGAGCTCCGCATTCACTGGCAGGGATCTGGCATGGTACTCGCGAATGAAATCCGCTACTTTGTCCTCGAGTTCCGGGTGCACAGCTCGGCGACCATGAAACGACGTCTTCCTCGCGTTACACACTGACAGTTTGGATTTTTGGTTGCGCCAGTACCTGACGCTTCTCTCGGACACTCCAAACTGCCGCTGTGTCGCCATGTTGCCATTCGCTTCAGGGAATTCAATAACTTTTCTTTTAACAGAGTGTCTAGCGTTACGTCCAGAAGAAACAATAGTACGGCTGGACGTAACGATAGCGCTGGCTATAGTTACGACGTAAGAATTGTGGTGGCTATAGTTACTTCTAAACGTAACCCTAGCCACACCGTTTTCTTAAGGAAAAAGAATATATATATATATATATAGGCGGTGTCCTTGGAACATTATTGCTGCAATGTTTTAAAGAATACTTGTGCAGAAAAAGGAAAAAAAAAAAGAGATCGCAAAAGGGCTCGAACCATTGACCTCACCATCCTGCATGTGCTGCCTCGGCCTATTACGCCACAACTGCCCGTCGGCCCGATTAGTTAAACAAGTCGGTTTTGTATTGTTGTCACGCTGGACGTTACTCTAAAATTTCTTATTTTTATGCCTGGACGTAACTTTAATGGCTTCCATCGTTTCGTCTAGACGTAACGCTAGACACTCCCATAAAAAAATAGCCTTTGTGACCACGGCAGACATGCAAAACTGTGTTGCTATAGCGCTGTACAGTTTTGCTGTAGCAAAATAGTGAGTGTTAGTGACGAAAGCGCACCGAAAAGCGAGAATATCCCAGTGACACATGAGAAAACCCCCGAGACTGCCAAACGATTATCGAACTCAAGAACCATACAACGGATGTAACAAAATATCCCAGTCGCACACGAGCAAACCTCGGAGACTACCAAATGATTATCGATGAAGTAAAGAACCACACGACGGACGTAACTTTAGCAGCTGGTTATTGTTACGGCTGGACATAACTTTCACCTTTCGCAAAAGCTATGTCTAATAGTGGCGATAGAAGACGTTAAAGTTACGTCCAGCGTGACAACTATAAAAAACGGGCTTGTTTTTTAGACCTTTCAGACCGATCGGCAGTTGTGACGCACTACAATAAAGAAAGAAAAAAAGGCAGTTGTGATGCAGTAAGCTGAGGCAGCACGTACAGGATGATGGGGTTGTTGGTTCCAGCACCTACGTAACTTTTTCTTTTATTTGCACAAGTATTTTTTAAAACATTACAGCATTAATGTTCTAAGGGCACCGCCTATATATATTTTTTTTATTAAAAAAAATAGCTTTCCTCGCCGCGGCGGACGCGCAAATGCGCATTGCTTCAGTGCCATACTGTTATGTTCTAGCAAAATAGTGACTGTTCGCAATAAAAGCGCACCGCGAATCCCAGTGACACACGACAAAACCTCTGAGACTGCTAAATGATTATCAAACTCAAGTGCATATTGTGAACCACACGACGGACGTAACTTTACCAGCTGATCATAGTTACGGCTGGACATGAAACAGAGGCCGAATTTAGATGGGATGGGCTTGGCTTCAGCGGCTCTTTTTTTTCAAGCAAGCAAAATGCATTAAAGAGTCATTACCAGCATTTATGCATGAAGATGATCTAGTATTAATGGATGACAACAAGGAAGATCTGCAGGGATCAATAGCCATCAGTGGTAATAAGTGTGAGATAGGTTAGACTTGAAGTTCTATGAGGAAAAATTGGTGGTCATGATTTTAATGTAAGAAAAAGATGGAATGCAAGTGTCTCGCTGGAGATAGTGGATATATACAAATATCTTGGCAAATAAATAAGCAATGGGGCTAAGTACCATATATACATACATACATATATATATATATATATATATATATATATATATATATATATATATATATAATAGTCCAGTAAATCTTCCGTGAGCGGTCACAACATGGTTTATTTCGACGTTTCCACCTAGAGTCTGGCCTTCATCCTGATGAAGGCCAGACTCTAGGCCGAAACGTTGAAAAATAAACCACGTTGTGACCGCTCATGGAGGATCTACTGGACTATATGCAACGCTACGGCCACTCAACCACCATGCCTGCCTATATATATTTATATATATATGTGTGTGTGTGTGTGTGTGTGAGAGAGAGAAAGTTCAAGTGAAGAGCAAGGAGGTTAACCAGTAGAAAATTTCTGGTTTGCGGCTGTAATGATAAAAAAATATAGGGCACTGTGGAATCGCTATAAGTAAAATGTTGTGAAAGGGATTTGGAAAGGGGTCACGGTTCCTAGTCTAACGTTTGGCTATGCGGTCTTGTGCATGAGGTCAGAGATTTGAGCAAGATTAACGATAATTCTTGAGGTGATTCTCTACTGTATCAAGCCAAGGTGGGAGTATTGCGAACCAATATTTACCTAGCTAAATACGAAGGGATAAGCACAATATTGTCACGGTAGTGGAGACGAGGAGAAGAAAACAGCTGATGCTGAAAGACATGATACTGTTCTGTAAGGGAACTCACCTGAAGTGGAAAATTTTTTGAAGCAATGCAGGGTTTAGGCCAGTGCAGGCGAAACAAAATTTAAGAAGATAGAAATAACCAGGACGAGGTTAATTGATTGGCGGCTACAATGAAGGCTCGAGTAAAATTTATTCTTTCACTGCACAGTGCTAGTACTAATATTTTATGTATTTCGGCTGAGCAGCATAAGGCACAGCCCAATGTAACGGGTACAGCCTTATCAAATGATAGCATGTAGGTGTTCTGTGGCCTTATCCATCTATCCGTTATAAACCACCTCGTGAAGTATCGGCATTTTCAAAATCCTTGTGTGACCAAGCTTGAACTAGCGCCTGTTAAGGCCGGTTAGCGCGTGTGTACACACACACAAACAGAAACACAGAAATACTCTAGTCATGCTCTTCATTGGTTCATACATGCAAACTGAAAAGCGGAGTTGTACAGTTTCGTGGAACTTCACTTAATCACAGAGAAATGCTTCTTTTCATTTTTCTTTGTGGCGGCTACAGCAAGAAGTGAAAAGTTGATTGTTTCAGTCATGCAACACCATTTACACACAACCTAAACTCGCACAGGTACAATAAAAACAATCGTGCACAGTGAGAAACACTACTGTCACTGAAGGCCAGTATCCTCTTGATTGGCAATAATGTACGAAGCCGGCCTAACGTTCCTATTACGCGAGTGAGAAGTGCAGTCTGCCGGTCAATGAGGTACTGGCCTTCGGTGACAAATACTTGAACTCTAGTACGCTTTATCTTAAAGGTATAATGCTTTGCTTTAATGAGAAAATGTGCACTGACATACTTATGTGTGCACATCATTTTGACTTGTTTTCCAGGAGCATCAGGGCAAAAGAATTATCATTCCCGTGGGGCTGTAGAGTCGCCTCATGGGCTCAAAAAGTGAGACCTGTTTCGTTCATGAGGCGGCTGTTACCATTTTTTCTACTCTAATCAGACTAAAAGAGAGGTGAAACCTCTCTTGGACAAAAAAAAAATGTGCTATAAATGTGCTATGCTTTCCGGTAGGTAAAAATCTCAATCTGGCCAAAATTCATGGAAGTGGTTGGCTCCATTTTTGCACATAATCAACCGATATTTCACTGCCAACTTATGTTATAATTACTTACTAAAGCTTCAAGTCTAGTTTTTGCCTACTGGAGCTGGGAACTTTTATGCAAGAATCAACAAACTAATTTAAAATATAAGAGGGAAGCAGACTGGTAGCACTTTTATTTATTTCCTTGTCGTAATAACTTCTCTATATAATGTGCACATAATTTTCACCTAACAAATGCCCATAACTTCCTTTGTTTTTCATCATGCAGATTTTTTCAACCATTTTTTGAAGCACACCATTCTGATTGGAGAGGTTGAGAAAAAGAAGAAGCTACTCAATAAAGCATTGACAAACAAAAGTAATGACAATATGAAATCAAGAGATTAACAACAAAATGGCACATCAAATAACATATTTTGTTTGATTTCTGTGTTCATATTTGTGCCCTCCTTGCTCTGATAAAGTGGTGCACCTGCCAGTCAGCCAAGCACCAATTTGCTTGTGGGCTTATACAGAGTAGAATGCTACACTTATAGGCTGGTACACCCATACTGGTACAGTGATAGACGGATACACTCATAGACTGATACACCTATAGACTGATATAACTGTCAATAAACTGATAGCTAATCAGCTTTTCTATCAGAATTTTCGCTAGGGGTACTATCGATGAGAACAGGTACTAAATTGGTCTTAAATGATCGTAAAGATTCGCTCTACCAAACCCATGCATTTGTAAAAAACCGTGAGAAATCTTTGATGGCATACCTTGACGAGCTGACCCAGAGCCAAGCTGAGGTCCACTTGTCCTTTGCCAAACAGCTTCATGGCCGTGACAGCGCGAGAAGCGTTTTGCACTCTGTTGGAGAGCTGCAGGTCGAGAGTGCCTGTCTCAAGGCGCACCGCACTAGCGGTGGGTGTGGTGGCTGTGAGCCGGATGCCCCGCAGTCGCAGCTGCAATGAGAACAGCAGCTGGCCTCCATCTAGAGCACTGCTGCCGCTGCTGCTGCCACCACCGCCGCTGCCCTCCCAGAGGCGCAAGGGCCGCGTGCCGGACATCTTCTGCACCACCTCGTTTACCTCCTGCGTAGGCGAGAATGCTCGCACCTCAATAAAATTAATCGCAAAAGCACCATTGAACCAATACACACCTTTAAACAAGGCACTTTCGTGCCATATGTGTCAGTGTAGACATTACCTAGACAACACTCGACGACCTAGATTAGTTCTCATACGGTATGAACATCCTTAGTCTGTCCTTGTATGTAAGGCGATGTTTTCAGTGTGCCCTCAGGTAGACATTCACAGGATGGTACAGAAAGCATACTTTTCAATATTTCTCGAGAATAACTCATCGTCCAAAAATGTCCATTGTAGGACATTTTGCCTCTATACTGTGTAATTCAAAAAAGGTTGTGCATAAACACTGTGTGGCTTTCGTCATGAAAGCATGAACATTATATGTATGCGACAATCACTAGCGTAGCTTTTGATTGTACACTTGTTTCTTCATGTTCATTTTTTTATACCTCACAGTGGTGCAAGATAGAGCTTTTTGCGTGTATGCATGTCTTCAAATTTCTTTGTTTTGCGCATAAATGAGCCTGAAGGATTACCCTTGTGGTCGGCAACAAACAGGTAACGACACGGCCGGCACAGTATCCGACGGTGGCAATCATAGCAATCTCACTGCTAACGCAGACCTTTTTTTTTTAAGCCTGGCAACACTGACACTCTAAACAGCACAAGTCAAAGCAATCCAAACTAAGCACTTTAGCGGATGTCTACGCCTCTACAAAGAAAGCAGCATAGTTAGGCGTGGCGGCAGTAAGTCTCCTTAAATATGTCTCGTTTTTGCGTTTGAAATGAGAGAAAGCGTTGACTGCAGGTTCTGACGATAAAGTAATAGATGCACTAATGCCTGTTTACGCATAGTAAATAGTGCTGTCTGTAAAGTAAGCGAGCGTTGCCAAAGCAGATGGTGTCACACTACAATGTCGTGGTGTGCATTGTGTGGCATGATGTTTATATGAGTACCCAAGAGTTCATTTTCTGTGCTTTCTTTGTTGTTAGAAGATCACCGAAATTTCCTGAACTCGTTTGAAACATGTCGTGCGCGACATTATCAATTGCAGTTCCAAACATGAACATGTTCCGCGTAGTCACTGCGATGAAAACAGGGTTTAGAGTGCACGACGTCTAAATTATGGAGCTAATTGTGGGTGTGTGTGTGCAAGCACACTTGCCGGATGAACCTCTGCAGTTGCATATAAGCGGTTTTGAAAAATCATTTGGGCTTTTAAGTCACTTGCAAAGGATTCAGCTTTTGTAGTGATGGTAGCACGTGCGATTGTTGGCAGGCGTGGAAAGTTTCTTGTAAATCAACACTGGCACATTTATTGTCATATTTTACAGAATTTAATCAATGAGTTAAAATCCTGGAAACACACATGGTGATGTTGGAGCAGCAAGGCCAATAGTTCGGTACAATACCGCTGGAACTATGAAGGTCTATGGAGCAAATATCTCCTTTGGTACCTTGCCCATCTCCAGAGATCTTGAATGAAAATGTTCAATCAAAGCAACCTCATTTTTTTGTAAAGTTTCACAGAATCATTGTTTCAAAGCCATATTAATAAAAAAGATTTGCACGTCACTGTGTGTTTATTTTCGTCTGGTATGGCATTTAATGTGCTTTTAATAACAAAGTTCAAGGTATGTGCTTGGAAGCAATAAATGAGTTTCTTATATCTTAAGCTGAATTTTTAAAATCATTTATAAAAAACAATCACATTGAAAAATTGCATTTCCAATGGGAGAAGCATGCATAACAAAAGCCTTGAAAACTTTTTGAAAAGAGCCTTGAATGCTGTCCTGAGATCGAACTGAACACACACTAAAAAGATCCCCGAGTGTCGACCTCAAGACAACATGAGAATGATCTGCGGCCGGACGAACAGACAGGATTAGAACAGGCCGCAGTTCATTTGAGGATGAACCCAGGTCGTCCCTTCGTACTGTGATATTCGGCCCGACGCATGCACCACGCCAATCGGTCCCAGCGACTCTGTGGCGAGCACATTCCTTTCCTTCTTTCAGGTGTTGTCATCAGACAGATTCAGTTACGCGTGCGCAGCACCTGTACAAACGCAGCCTGGTGGCCACTTGCAATGGTGGTAGTAGTGCTTAGACAAAGAAGAAGAAGGTGCCTAATTTCTGCAGCCCGAGGAGCACGGCACAGGGCTTTTTGCAATGGCAGGCCACATCCTTAGGGCTGCTGCAAGCGCGCAACTAAATGTCTATTCTTTGTGAGAGAGAGATGTGACACGTGGTATATTCCAAGGCCAACACGACAGGACCCCAACTATTTCTTTTATTCCTTTCAAAGAAATGCACGTGCTGATCTGCGTAGTGAGCACGAGTGGCCGGGGCAGTAGAACCAGTAGTAAATATTTCTTTTTACATCTTTTTTTTCTTCTTTTCCGTGTTTTCTTGCTATTTCTAAAGCAGCACGCAATTCCTGTGTTGACTTTGGCTTGCCTACACTTTTCCCGTGCTTTTAACCTGTCTGTTCTGAGAAGACTACAAATATGTGTTCATCTAACAATCTTGAAGGAATATTTCTAGTTTGTGTGTCGGTACTAAAATCTTACACGAGGTCACGCTTGTCGTGGAATGCTTTCTTGGGGGATTTCAAGTTTGGGCTCGTGGCCTTGGACCATCGAAAGCGTGCTCGACTAAACGGCTACTGTTCTCAACTGGAAAGTTGGCCATAAAACGGGCACACAACCACCGGTGTCAGTGATTGTTGTTTTTGTGGATGTTTACATATGTGTAAAAGAACTTGTTGGGCTAGTTGGTACAACATTTCTAAAAGTTAATTTGAGCGCGAACACACGACACGATCACTCACACACGCATACACCCAGGCATCAAACACACACAGCGTGTCGTGCAAGGAGGTGAACCCACAGGACTCCCAAGGACTTCGGTGTATCAGATTGATTGCACATGTGCGTCGCCGTCTCGGCAGTGTTACGGTCGCAAGGAGGAAGTTGCTTATGGCATCCCACCGCTGCCACCAGTTGTTACGAATGGGTGTCTACCCGGCCTCTTGTTGTAGCGTGGTGTAACCGGGTGGAGGAACTGAACGCTGACAAGAAGAGGATACGAAAACAAACAGGTTTATGGCACTATTTACACATATTTACAGCAGAGAAAGGTTAGTGGTTTCACAAACCACGAGCGTGGTGGTTGAACCGTTACATGGTTCAGAGCGACGTCCAGCACTCTGCGGCGTCGTTTTAAGCCCTGTTAGGCTCCTCCTCTCCGAGTGGAACACCAATCACACACACACAACAGGTGAGGGGGACGAGCATGCACGGTCCACGTGAACGTCTAATATTGAGTCGTGAACACTGAACTGCAAGGTGGCGCCAGCAGGGCTCTTCCTCGTCGTATGTGTGCCACTAGTCGAGAGGTCCCACGATCCTGACAGCATACATCAAAGGGTCCGCCGATTTGTTCGCTTAATTAGCGGGGTGATTTGCGGTGGCCGTTGCGGTCTCTTCCAGGAAGATGCTGTATTCGTTGGCCTCTGTTGAACGGTTAACGGCGTCTTGGCGACACGACGTCTCATCCTTTGGCTAGCACGGACAATGCCTGACGAGCATAGGCAGCCGTCCCGTCGTCTACTTGATTGGGGATTAAAAGGAGCACCGCTCTCCTGTCAGCTCTGGCGCCGGTCACAACAGCTTCCCCGTCGCCAGATGAATCACCGAGATCTTCAGGCACCGCTGCTGCTTGACGGGACGACGAAAGGGCCCACATTTGAAAGTCTGGAACTCGCCTTTGCTTGCCGCATCGTCTGGGTAATTACTCAAATCTTCGACAGTGTCTGGCAGACTGTGTGCCGGAGGGATTGAGAGCCTCCCCAGTAGACCGGCATACGCACAATGGCGTCTGCCCAGATGAATTTCCAGGCCAAACTTAACAGCAGCCAGTGACGTTTATTATCAGCAGCATGCTTTTATACAGTCGTGGCATGTACAGTGTTGCCCACTTGCTTCACTACATAAGTTACACGTTTTTTTTTTTTGCGAACAGAAGCATTATTAACATTTAAATAAAACATAAGCTATAACAGGTTAATTGGTTTGTTGAAATTATTCATCGCAGTTCAGACGGCAAGGGCTGTCATTTCTCCCTTGTTGACCTGCGGAACAAGGGGCTTGAAAGGGTGCAGACAGCCTGCTTATCCAAAGACTGAGGTTGTGCCCAAAGCATTGCTGGAGTCATTTCCTCCCTTCTACACGATGAGCCGTTGTATTCAGAGGGTGGACTTCCACTAGTATAACATCCTTCCCCTGTCACCCGCACAGATGTCTCACTGTTTTCCGCCGGCACGAGCAGAGGTGTTTTGGTGCTTCCCGATGATACCCTTGACAAGGTGGCACTGCTTTCTGATGAGTACTCAGTTGTCGCACTGCTTTCAGATGAACAACGCACTAGGGACGTCTTCTGCTCGTTGAAAGGTTCAGCTGTTCGCCTGCGATCTCGGCAGCTTCTTCGCAGCAGTCCTCCCTTTTTTGTGCGAACCAAGTAGGAACCTGGACACACTAAGCACCTTCCCTTTCAAGCACCAAGAGTTATGGTACCTAACTCTGACGGTGTCTCTTTGTTAAAGTAGCGGTAGCCGCCTGCCTTTTTAAATTCTTTAGGCTATGCTTGACGGGCTGGGACATTGTAGAATGTTGAAACTCGGGGAGTGGTGTACAGTAAAATCTCGTCAATTTGACCCCCGTTAATTCCGGATTTCGATTAATTCGGCCAAGGCATCTAGTTCCGCCCAAAATCTAGTTTGTTCGATGACTGAAAACTCTCATTAATTTAGACGAATTCGGCCGTGCTTCGGTTAACTCGAATGCCCGACCGCGGTCGAGTCATGATGGTGAAGCAGTAGCGGATTCTGCCGGCCAACATGACGGCGCACCTAAATAACTGTGGGATTAAATTGCAGCCTCTGAGATTCAAAACTTTGTCCATGGGTAGCTACATCTCGAAGGCAGCCCCCCCCCCCCCCA